ATATGTATATATATATATATATACTATTTGTTCACTGGCATAGCAATTATGATAATCTAATATGGACTTACTGGAGTGTATAATAACATGAGAATCTGATATTAGATTCATAATGATTTAACTTATTACAAAAATGATAAAAGGTTCTAGGGTCAAATCAATTATATAATTTTGTCATTAATTTAGAAATTCCTCTGTTTTATTTTGTTCAGTTAAAAATATGTTTACTATAACTGTGACCTCAGAATACTGTATGAAATTTGCCTGGATATGTCTCTATTTTGGGTATTTTCAATCGAAGAGTATATAGTTTAAAATGCCAATATAAACATTTATTCAACCCTAAGACTTGCAAACACAGGTGAATTTGAATTGTTAAATTAAAAGTTGCGATTATCTAAATGCTGCAGGCAATCATTTCAGTGAAACAGGTATTGATACTCCATTAGTATTTTATTGGTGGTATGCATCATTTTCTTTAAACAGCAAATAATCATTTTTTATGTGGTTAATGACTGAGGCTTTTTCAAAATTCAAAGAGGTCCCCTTACTACCTTGATAATGGAGAGGTGGGAAGTTTGGACATAGAAAGATACGGTTAGCATGAAAACTGCCTGTGAGAGAGATCTGGAGACTGCTTGGTGGGAAAGGGACACTCATTGGTGTCAGTGATTTGTTGTCTTATCCTGGGCACCAGAGTGAGCCCTCTTAAGGGTAGACTGCTTAGTTACCTGAATGTGCTAAACAGAGAAGCAGACGGCTTAGGGAGAGTAAATGGGGACAAGTGAAGTGTGCCTTTTTAAGGGCTAAAAAGACTAATGTGCAATCCGGCAAATAGTTAATGCAAAAGGTTTAATGTGGTTTGGATATTATTTATAAGAGGGATGCTCCAGTCTGGTTGACAGTTTAGAATAGATATTAATGAAGAATTTAAATAGCCCACGTCAGGAAACAGTAGACATAGGATTTGCAGGCAGGAGCAGTTTCGGCATTTAATGCTGGTGTCTTAAGAAGCAACATATATGAATATTCACCATCTCCAGTTTGTAAACCCTGCAGAAGTTCATCACTTCATTCATGGCCATTATGGACAAAGAAATATCTTTTTATTAGTTTTCAGATAAAGACTTAACTCGAACCATTCCTAAATGTTAACACACAGGACTCCTTTTGCTTCTGTTAAAAGTATGTGCTTGTTCATTTTTCATTGTAATATAAGAAAAAAGAGGAAACAATTTTCTTTTGTTTCTTACTTCTGTGATTATAGGATACTTGCCAAAGTTGTGGCTAGCCAAAAAGGCAGACATAAAAATTGCTACTAAAAATATAAGCCTTCTGTTTAGCAGAGTTTTTGAGAAATATTGTGAGACTGTAGGACTTGTCCATGTTTACTTTGAATGAAGCTTATAGTTAGGTTTGAGGCTTTGTTTGTGTAAATTGTCCTGAAGTGGATACTGATATTTAATTAAAATGACACTAAATCACATTGAATTGATAAGACTTGGCATCTCAAACAAAGGTAATTGCCCGTATTGGTTTTGTGCAAAAATAGTGCTGCTTGGAAAATGTGCAGCCAACACAGACTGTCAACTCCATTTATAGATCAATATGTGAAAACCATTGATCAGGCAGGCATGTATAACAGTAACGCTTTGCATTTATTTGTTGTTTTTATACCACATTAAAGCTTACAGGATTATAGGCTTCCTAAATATTTTGACTTCCTCATAAATATATGATCTGTTGCATGTTAATTAAATGAGAGTCTGCAGCCATTTCTAAAATTGTTTTTAGTTTGATGATTTCCTTTTATTGCTGTGGATCATATGATCTGAAAAGGGATTCGTTTCCTTTTGCATAAAGATTATTAAAGCTTATTTTAATATGTCCTGTTTAGTATAAGATGGGGTTGCCTTTTGCTTTGAAAAATATAGATACAGACAATTATTTTCTCTTAGCGAGTGGCTGATCTTCCCCCTCCTCACCCCTCTTTTATTAACTGGGCATTCTCAGCATTCAGGGTAGAATTATTTCCTGACATATTTTACACGCCTTGTAGATAATGGGTCTTCTTGATTTCTCCTGATAGAATTTGTTTTCTTTCTTTCCTTTTTATCTAGCTCTGTAGTACAGGCATCTGATCAAGCATTATGTAGAAAATAAACTGATCATCTCAATTTAATTCTAGGCACACACAAATATAATTTGAATTTTATTTTTCTGATTCAAGAACAAGGCTTATGAGCTGTTCTTATACACTGCATTCTGCAGTTAAATCTTTCTTATCTCATCAATGTAAGGACAGTGTTTTGTTCCTAATCTTTATTGGACTATTGTGGATGACATTTGTAAGCCATTTTGGTTTATAAGGAAAAGCTGGAGGACAGTGGAGTGAGACTCTCCATAGATTCAAGCTTCAGATATGACTACGCAATAATGTGTCTTCCAGTGCAATTTTCTTTGCCACTGAGAGGTCAATTTTGTTGAGAAATCTT